AGCGCCGGGTCGATTGGGAACATTTCATTGAAGCGCTTCTCGCCTACCTTATGCCACCACACCATATTCTTTGTCTCCCCGGGAATGATGGCAGACGTGTCGTCTCGGGTTGGTGCAAAGCTAGAGTATGCACTGCGAAACAGAGCATCCTCCTTTGCTTGCTGGACCGCAACGAGAATGGCCTCAGACGGTGGCTGTTGGGCCTCCCCCATACTCAGGGCACGCTGCCTGCTCTTTTGCTTTGCAGTTGGCGAAATTTGGTCTTTGGGCATGTCCACGCCGCCATAACCTAGCCAGAAACCAGACGACAAGCTTTGATGGGCATAAGACTGGGAGCCCTTGCGCCGGGGCTTGGGGGCTTCCTGATGCGCAAAGGTAATGGTGTTGTTGCCTTTGCTTGTTGTTGGCCTGGCAGACTTGGGTGGACTAATCTGTGTCAGGTGAGGAGGTGCCCGAAAGACATTTCCGATTGTCGCGGGTTGCTTCTTGCTATCTGGATCAGAAAGAGGATACACTTCCGTAGTGCTAATGAGGTTCGGGAGATTTGCCTCGCGCAGAGGCAATATCACTTTGACGGCGGTATCGAGGGTGGATATAGGGGTTGTGGGGGATATTTTTTGAGGCTGCTGCAGGCTCGAGAACAGCTGCTTAGGTGGCGCGCTTCCGTATAGTGTGAGGACTGTCCGACTCTGGGGACCCTCTGCCTCATGCTCTTCTTCCTTGATAGCCACCGGAGTGCCTTCTTCTTTTGACGCGTGCGGAGCTGCCTCTTGATTGGATGCTTTTGCCTGGTGGTGTTCTTTGCGTGCTTCTTCTCTGCCCACTAGGTTCTTGAGAATTGTCTGGAAAGCGAGGACCTTGGCTTGGAGTGCAGTGTCCTGGGGAGACGTTGTAGTGGCCGAGGCGTCGCTTGCGCCAGTGGAGGCCAGAATGTCCGTGGTCGCGTTCTCAACATCTCTTTCAAGAGCGTGCAGAGAATCGTAGGAACCGTCTTGGATAAGGGTGGTGATTGTTGCCGGGCCAGTCGGGGGAGTCAGTTTGGTGCGCTTGGAATCAGCTTCTCCAGAGGCAGAGCGGGCTATCGACGAGGTTATGGGATGCGACAGAATCGAGGGCTGTGTGTCGTAGCTACTGGGAAGTCAGCATATGGACAGAAAGGCGACATTGCCAGTTGGGCAGGAAACAGGTTTGCAGCAGGCGTACCTCTTGAGGACCTCGAGTATGTCGTGCAATGCCGCCTGCAGAGAACGCGTGCCGTCTGCTGGGCTGTCTGCTTGAACAGGCGCGGGAGCGACATTGGAAGGCTTGGGACGGGGGCTGGCGAGTTTGCGCTTTGCAGCCGAGGGCGACGTGGGCGCAGGCGGAAGGGTCGGCGGGGTGAGGGTGCCGTTGGCGGCGGCCATGGTGAGTGGTGCGTGGTGCTGGGGATGCGCTCGTGATGGCGTGGGATGGAACGCGCTCAGGGCGGCCGGAGGAGTCGTTAGTCGCTTGTCTTCAGCAGCATTCCCTCGCCGCGACGGTGCAGGGCGCGATGCAAACAACAGGTGCAAGAAAATAAAAACTCGGACTTTGGCGCAGACAGGCACGAGATGGGGCTCTGTGACGCGCAAGTGACCGGGATCTGGCGATGAATGGTGTTGGAGAATTGGCTCTAGGTTGCCCGTGGTCCAGATGCGTACCACGGCGATGAATGAATTGCTTGCCATCAGCCAGTCAACCATGGCAGCGCGAGGCGCAGTGCCAAGCATTTGCGCCACACTCGCCCGCCTGCGCCACATCTATGATTTTGCTGCTGCCCTCCGCCTGCTATCCACTGCCTGCCATCCACCCCGTCCTTTTGCTGCAATTGACGTCTACGCGCCCTCGCCCTGGTCGCTTCCGTCAGATGAATGCCCTTCATCCTCTCCCTGGCAGCTCCACGTAGCCCGCATCGTCCTGGCCGTTGTGTGACGCGCCTGGCTATCGGCCTGGTAGGCCTTTCTCACCAACAACGCCGACTTGGATTGCTGCTGACCTGCTGCTTAAGCTTCCTTTCTTCACTGCATCCACACACGACCCTTCCTTTTCTAGCCGCGATCGCTGTCACGTGAGACGTCACTCTTCGCTGCTAGCATGCCAACGCTCCCTCCCCTCGCCAACCCGCTGCCCGTCTTTACCTCCCCGCAATGGCCCGCCTCTGTGTCGCCTCGAGGCGCTTCAGACACTATCAAGGCGCCATGCATCCACGAGCAACTTAGCCCCACATGTCGAGCCAGACGACTTTCAATCACCACTAGACGCCGTTGAAGATTTCAACAATGACACCCCGTTTCGTGCCCAGTTGTCGCGCAATGCCCGAAAGGTGCTACGCAAGAGCAGACCTGCCATTGTTCTGGCATCCATCAATGGCCCAGCCAAAGACCTCTACAGGGATAATAACTCCAGCCAGAGCGCTTCGTCATACACTGCACAAGACTCTATGACCCAGGAACAAGATTCGCAAACCCTTGCGACAGCTGGCATATCCGTGCAGCATCCTGAGCCTGTTTCGCTCTATTCTGTACTTGCGCGCTATCTCGAATATCGCACCTCCTCACCTCCCACAGATTCTGATTTTCGCTTTACTGCTTCAGAGTTGCACTTGCTGCGATCCAAAGGTTACATACCCGAAAGCGTGGAGCAGTGGGCAGCATGTCTTGTAGAGCCCAAATGCAATGTGGCGGCTGCAGTCTTCGAACAACAGTCTGAGGTACCCCCTCTCTTCCTGCTGTTGCTATTTCTGCGCCGCAAGCATATCAGAGTGCACAGTTTAGGTATCATTATGAGGCACCTGGACCGGATTGTCCAGTTAGACACTGTTGAATGGTCCCAGCTCAAGATTATTGCAGTCCGCCTACTCCGCCATGTGCGCGAAGTCTGGCCTGAGTCTGTGACATGGGTCACGTCTTTCCTGATTGCTCAGTCCAGTCGCCTACACAATAGGTCGCTCCGAATGCTGTCTGATATGACTCGCTTCTTCAATTCCTACCTTGTGTTGCTATGTCTGCCTACAAGCGTCCGGCCCTTAGTCTGTGCGACTTACCAGGAAAAGGCTCAGTTTCAGATACTCAAGTACATGGCTAGTACATCACCATCTATGGTAGTGTCACGCCCCGGTTTCCGGGCAGTAGCTCGTAATCAGTTGGCTCATGCCAAGACCATTCAGGAACGAGATTGGGCAGAGCTCAAAGGCCCATCTTGGCCGCCGTGGAAGGAGAACCGTACAGCAATGGACGAAGAAAAAGGCTACAATTTTGGTGCTTCGCGGGCCTCTCAGCTCTTACATCGCATGTACGAAGCTGGATACACCAATCGCATGTTTGAGGATATGGTGCAGATCTATGCTGGTTGGGATACAGACAACAGCCCAACAATACAAACTCGAACTACACTACCACATGTTTCTTCGAGATTCAACGACAACCGCCATATACGCCCGCTGCTCTGGGCTGCGCGTATACGGACCACACGCACGCGAAGAGAGGCCTGGGCGTGCTTCTTGTCCCACGAGCTTTCGGATGAAGGTGCTCATTCCGAGGTGTACCTTGCCATGTTCGAAAAACTGCATTACTCTACTGTAAGGAGAATACCTGCCACACCGCTTTCGACTGATGCAGATCAAGCTCCTGAAGAGGATAGTAATCATCTGCTACCTGGAGACATGAAAGAGGTCCTGCCAGATCCCTCATCTTCATTGCACTATGTTTATCTTAGTGAGCCTGTTCCTGAGTACAAAGAGCTACTTGAACGAATGCGTACCACCAATATCAAGCCTTCGCATCGATTACTTGCCTTTCTCCTGGAAACATGTCCGGACTTCCACACATGTCTGAATTTACTACATATGAGTAGACAGGATTTCAATGGTGGTATAGGCCGCATACTGTATGGTATGAATGACGACGACGCCTCGGTCCATTCAGTTGATGGATACCTCTTCACAGCTATCATCCGGTTCTTGTGTCGTTTTGGGCGTTTCGAGCGACCGCCTCCACAGGAACCCACCGTACTGGATCCTCACGAACATGCGCAGCAGATTCGGACCAACAGGAATTATCTCTTGGAGTATGCGCATAGCCTTCTTATACGCTATCGGCCGAAACATCGGCCTGCCTGGGCAATCTTTATCAACAAGCTGCTACATCAAAGAAAACTTCCACAGGTCGTCCAAGTCGAACGCTATAGGGTCGTCTGTGATTTGCTTGGGCACATTGAACAAATCGATCTTGATGTTGATGATGACATCTTTGGCTGTGCATGCATGGCGACTACGTATGCCGCACAGAGCGTGGATCAGAGCATTGCCTCTATCAAAGACGCGCGCTTGTTGTCGACAGGCTCGGCCCGTCTCAGAGATTTATTCAACAGCTTAGTTGGGGCCAATGTCAATATGCATTCTTATCCAGAACAGCCTGTGAACGGTGTTGTTTCACCACATGTTCCTGGGCCTACAGAGCTCCACCTGTATGTGCGAGCCTTAGGCGCTCTGGGCGACTACAAAGGGCTCTACTCGTTTACGACCTGGCTGACCAATTACCATTCTGAAGTCAGTGTACGTGCGCAAGCACAGCGCGGTGGCATGAACACTTTGTTCAGAATGCTGGTGGCGTTGAGATTGGCTGTTAGCGGTGGAGGGCCAGACATGGGATCTCAGCATGCATCTTATGCACCCGAAGACATTGCTTTGCTTATCAGAAAGCAGATTGAGGGTGTGGAAGAATGGGGCGGGTGGCCGACGCAGGAGCATGTCAAGATGTACATTCAAAAACAGTTGAAGTCGCAAACTCCATCTGCAGGGGGGCGGTAGAGTACGAATCCACAGACGGATATTTTGGTTGTTATTGTCGTGATAACCCGTAGATCAGCCCTCTTGAGTCTGAATACAATGGTTGGTCGCATCAATACCCGAGTGTAGCTCTGGATATACTGCAACAGTGAAAGAACATAGAAATGGAAACGATACTAAACCAGCACCAGTCCTTTCACGCTGGAACAGGCACCAGGCTATCCTTTGCCAAGCCATGATACGCCTGCTCCAAAGATGCCGTCACTTGCGCAAACCTTTCCAGCCACTGCAACTCCACCTCTGCACGAGGCACAACCAGCACCTTGCCAACATCCTCCTTCGCATCTTCGAAACAAACCTGAATGCGAATCGGCGTAGCATCAGCGCCTAGATTCTGTCGTCCCATCATAATTGATGACTCTTCAATCGCATCCCCCTCTACCTCTTTACCCTTTCTCACACCACGAGCCCATACAGGTCTACCCTCAATAACCCTTTTACACTCCTCCATCAACTCCCCCTCCACCTCCACCTTTTTCCCATCCAGCAACCCCATCCGCAGCACAACCCCATTAAACAACCGCACACAGCACTCATACGGCACAAGCCCAGGCCACACAAAGCGATGCAAAAAACCCCTGTGCCGCCGCCACTTTCCCGCTCTCGCTACATTCACAATCCGCCTCGCCTGCGACCGCATCGTACTGGGGATATGTGCCGTATTTAGCGTGCTGGGCGCGCTCGACCGCGGGTCAAACGGCATCTTAAAGCACGTAGGATGTGCTTCGTACAGCAAGGCCAGCTGCTCCAATTGCTCCGCCAGCACTTCAGCGTTGGCCTCACGGGCACGCTGGTACGATGCCAGAAACTCGGCAAGCGACGCGGGTGTCGGGAACGAAGCAGGGAGTTGCGGGAACGAAGCATCATCTGGAACAATCGGGCTGAGTACGCACGTCACCATGCGAGATAGCTGGCTAAGCCAGTGCTTGACCAGCGCTTCGCTCGTCTGCAGATTCCGCACTTGAACGAGACTGTATTTGGAACTCCACTCCGAAGCTTTGTACGCGAGGAAGCGTAGGTTTCGCTCTTCGTAGATTCGAGTAGCGTCGATACATTTGCGCGAGGGCGGGAAGCCGTGTTTTGCAACTGTGTCGGTTATGGCGAGGAGTTCTTGCAGCGAGGTTACGGAGGCTGGGGAGGTGAAGTGGTGATTCCAGGGGGAAAGGCTGTGCTGGAGGGACCAGGTTAGGCGGGGGCCTGCGCACGAGGAGAGGCGGATGAGTTGGTGGAATTGGAGGTGTATTAGGATGTCTTCGTGGAGTTCGCAGGGGAGGGATTCGAGGTTTTTTGATATGCGCTGGTATTTTGTGGTTGCTATCATCTTTTTTTGTTCACCCCCGGAGGGTGATGTTTTTTTTTATGGATAATTTGAAGTTATATATATATAGGATCTGACTTTGTTGTTTTGTTTCGTTTATGTGGACTTTGGGTCGTAAAACATTATTCCAGCTCCTTGGGTGCGGTTTTTGTACGTAGTAAAGTAGGTGGGGTTTACGATACACGAGGGTTTTGAGTCATTCACAAAAAGGGCGCTGTTTACTAGTAGGCAAAAAGGGCTCAAGTGGGTTAAAAAAATGGCGTTGAAAAGGACAGCGCATTGAAGCCTAACTTGCATTGTTGCCTGGAGGCTTTATTTGAATTGAGCGATACCCCCGGGATCTACGTGAGTTGTTTGGTGGGTAGAGGTCTACAAACATGACGATAGAGCTGTCTCCGTTACACGCGCCACACTTTGCGGCTACGAAGTCCGCTGAGGAAATATGCGAGCGGCTTCGCGCTGATGAGAAACTGATCGATGCACAGAAGGCTTGTAGTTGGGTGGCATGGTATCTACCCGGCTACGATACAGACCTCGGAAGAGCGGTTGCTGCACGTCTAACACCGATACTCGGTGTGAACCACGAGCTCAGACGACTGATTTATGAGAATTGCCTTGGCAAAATTCGGCAGTATCTGAAGAACGATGGAACCAATGCGGCACACAATGTAGCTGTTGAAGAGATGGAAGAAGTTGGAAGAGAGATTCTCCCAGAAGAGTTTTCAACGGCATTAAAGGTTCTCGTACATTTACAGGACAGGAAGATCATTGGACGAGACACCACTACCGAATCCATTACAACATGGCTACAGGAGCAAGTTGCTACCCACCATGAGACTCCTACTCCAAGCATCCCAGAGCCACCACCCGTACCCCGCAAGCGACTCTGCTACATCTGCCGGCTCGAAATCAAACGTCCGTTTCCTTCTCACTCATCAATGTGCATGCCCTGCGGCGCCTTCAACCACGCATCATCTCAAATCTCCATGCCACCAAAAATGACCTTGACGCCTGATTTCACCGCCTTGGTCACTGGAGCACGGGTTAATCTAGGATACCACACTGCGTTGCGATTGCTGCGTTGCGGAGGCCGAGTCATAGCTACGAGTCGGTATCCGCGAGATGCTATATCGCGATATACAAACGAGGCGGATTCTGGCCAGTGGATAGACAGACTCAGGGTGGTAGGTGCAGATTTTCGGAGCGCTAGAGATGCGTTTGAGTTGGTGCGTGAGGTCAAGGTAAGTTCTTCTTTTTAGCTTTCTACACAAGAACGTCAATTCGAGGCATAAACTGACGTGTGATGTTCATCTTTGCAGGAGTGTTTAAAGCAGTGGGCAGATGGGGGAGAACCCAGGTTGTATGCGTTAATCAATAATGCGGCTCAGACTCTTACGGATAGTCTTACGAAAGAAGAGCGTGCCATGGGGCGCGAGCAAGACTTGAAGAAACGTGGGACGCATGCGGGTTTGTTGCTTGGGGAGAACTACACGGCGAGAGTGAGAGGTGGAGCACTGCCGTTGGCATTGGAGAACGGGAAAGCGCATTCGACACGGATGGATGGCCCAGAAAGCAATACCGATGCTATGTGGACTCTAAAAGAAGTCGATGCGTCAAAAGATACCACGTCAGAAATCGAGCCGTATACCAAGTCGTCGTGGGTACAAGGCATGTCCGAGATTCCTTACGAAGATGTTGGTTCCGCGCTTTCCGTCAATACGTTTGTTCCTTTTATCCTCTGCCGGGAGCTCCTTCCACTGATGGGGATTATTGAGCTGTTACCGGAGGCGGCATCAGGAAAGGCTTCCAAACCCCAAGGCTACTTCATCAACGTCTCCTCGCGTGAAGGCATCTTTGAAGACGTTCTTACGTCGACGGCGAAACGGGGCAAGCATGTGCATACCAACATGTCCAAGGCGGCGTTAAACATGCTGACGGAGACCGAGGCGGAGCCTGCATGGCGGACGAGGAGAGTGGCCATGAACACGGTTGACCCGGGGTACATGAGCGCGGCACCAGAGTACGAAGATGCATTTGATGGGACACGACCGATTGGGTGGGAGGATGGTGCTGGGAGGGTGTTATGGCCGATTGCTGTAGCGGAGATGGAGGGGCTGGTTATCCGGGGACGGTTCTTGAAGCATTACGGTGCTGTCGAGGTGGATCCGGGGAGGGGGAGGGGATGAATAGTACTAGTACCCTCTTCTTTTTTGGTCCGCGGCAAAGTCACATCCGGCGCTAGGAATACATGTCCTCGACACACAGCAATGGTGTTTTGTCCATGGATATCCATGACGGAGGCATGTCCGTTTTTTGTCTTTGGAACCGTCGGTCCGTTTCGGTGACGTAGAGGCAGGCTACAACGTCCCTGGTGCCGAGGGGTCAGTTCGGACAGTGCAAGAGGCGGGGCCGAGGTGCTAGCTTTGTCTTTGATACAGGGCTTGAGCGGAATGCATGGTGGTGGAACTATGGTTTCGCAGGCTGTTTGTTATGTAAGCCTCGACGATGGTGAAGCAGTATGCAATTGAGTACTCTGAGATGGGGTTCATTATGCCAGGGTATAGAGTAAGCACACCTTGTACATGATGTGCACATCAGACCGTCCTTGCACTAGCTTACCAGTGATGGTCAGGTCACGTTTGGCTTTGTTCTTTTCAACATGCACACGGCCGATGATGCCTCCTTTGTGCTCTGAAGCATTGGTCCCGATGCACAATGGCGCGTTACTTGTGTGTACTCACTCTCCATACGGCAGCCGGCGGTGTCGAAGCGTGCTATGGCATGGAGGCATAAATCAGCGAGGGTCAGGTGGACGGGCCGTGTAAGAAGTCTGGTCACGAGCAGGGCTGGTACGGAGGGCCCTGAATCCTTATTGACGGGTGCAATCTAAGGAATGAAGACGCGTGATCAGGCAGGAGATGAGCGTCGGGCCCATAGACGCCTCTGCCGATGCCAGCCCCGCGACAGCAAGCGAGCGTCTTTCAGTCTCCAACAGGCCCCTCGGTCAGTCCCTTCTGGCGCTGGTCAACAGCCCAGTCGCAATCGCACAGCACATTTCTGTCTGCCTGCCTACTCCATCGCATCCCATCGCAAACATTACAAGTGTTCACTTCAATCTGCTAGGCAGCCATATCGCGGGGTAGGACAATACGAGCATAGTACAGTAACCCTCTCGGCCAAATACCTACACACGACAAGCACGCTGCTATCAGTCCTCTCGACCACAGACGTTACCACCACCCACTCACATTCATCCTTCCTCTCACACATTCACCCACGCACACACAAATCATGGCATCCTTTTTCGAGCAGTTGTGGGAGTCCATCTTCACGCCAGGGCCGACTCCTACGCTCCTTGTCGCAACAAACGCCTCCTTCGCCGCACTCCAACTTCTCCTCTTTGCCATGCTCCTCGCGACCTACAGCATACACTTCATCATCTTGTCTCTCCTCTGTGGAGGTCTCTGGTGGTCAATCAACTGGTTTGCGGCAGAAATCAGGGCTGCGCAGGAGAAAGAGGAGGAGGCGAAGCGGATTCGTGAAGCTAGAAGAGGCGCAAAGGAGAAGGGTGATGATGGTGATGGTGAAGCCATGGACTCGGGAGACGATACTGAAGTTGAGACCGAGGTTGAGCAGAGACAGGTGCCGCAGCCCAAGCCCAAGCAACCGCGTGCTGAGGCACAGAGCACTGTCTTGGTTGACAGACCACAAGGCAGTGCTGTGAGCAGCCCACCACCTCCTCCTGTGACGGCCGGTGCGAGCACTACTACAGGCGCGACTACAGGGCTCGCGGTCCCTGCCAACGAGACAACCAAGAGAAGAAAGGGTATGGCTGAGTCTACAGGCGATTTGTCTACGGATAGCGAGTGGGACAAGCTGTCGGAGGATTCCGAGGATAGATGAAGACGTTTGTATTTTGCTGGCCGCTGCTCGCCATGGTTCTGTATGCTTTTTTGGATGCTAGACGCGATTAGACTGTGCATCTGTACCCCGATGTCGCGACACGTGAACACGCGCTGCTGCTGCCACCCCTTTCCCCTGTGCCCTGCACGTCAAGGCGTTGTACATTTGTCTCTTTTCCAATCCAGGAGCAGAGAGTGATCTCTGCTGATCTCACCTCACCCAGCCGGCCATGCATCGGGCCTGGAGTTGCAATGACTGACTGGGCTGTGCTTGCTTGCCTGCTTGCCCGCCTGCTTGCCCGTCATGCCCCGCCAAAGCTTCCACCCTCACCCATCACAATGCCCGAATGCCCAACTCGCCCATATCTCCATTTCCACATGTCGCTGACGACGACGACGCCTTGGTCCCGACCCGCACCTATAGCGGCCCTGCTATCCCATGTCTAAGCTGCTGCCTTGACCCTGACATCCGCGACTATACTTTGCATAAACCCCCGCCGTCGCACACGAGCAACCCCCCGCAATGGCTGCCATCAACACGCCCGTGAGCGTCGCAGAAGTGGCCGAGCAGGCTGGAAACTACACCTACGATGCGCACATTCCCCTGGCAAACTGGCTGCGCACTGCCAATACCATGCAGAAAGAGGTGCGTCGCTAGACTCCATGCAAGGTGCGCATGCTCACAGTTTCCCAGGCACAAGTCTACGAAGCAGAAGGCAACGATGCGCAGACATACCTCCTGCTATACCGCCACGCCGACCTTATCCTTCAGAAACTACAGGGCCACCCCGACCGCAACAAGCCCGAGAATCGCAAGGCGCTGAATGCTGCCACAGCCGCCGTCAGCCGGGACCTGAAGAAGCTCGAGGAAATTGCGCCCCGGATAAAGAAGAGACATGAGGATTACGAGGCAAGGCGCAAGAGGCAGCAAGAGATGCTCAAGTCGTTGGAAGGCAAGACTGCTAGTTCTGCTTCTCAAGAACTCGACGGGTCCAGGAGAAGGTCGTATGACTCGAGACGGACTATTGACGCGCGCGCTCAAGATAATCATTTGCTGGCTGCGAGACTGGCACAGCGAGAAGTAAGGAGGAGAGCTACGAACAGGATAAGTGTGGGACAGCATAATGTTTTGGAAGCAGACGACCCGGCACGGCGTTCTGGTGGTACCTTGGATAGTTGGCAAAATGAGTGGACGCAGCACGGCAGCGACAGAGATGATATTTCTAGCCAGATACAAGAGGTTGCTAGGTTGCAGCAAAATGGCCAGAGAGCATCGTACTCGTCCGTGAGTTGGAACCCGACAATGCCTAGTGCCTCCATATACTGACAAGCACAGCATCCAGCATCTCAGTCAACATCTACATACCATTACCCAACTGTTCCTCACAAAACAGCACAAGAGACATGGAACGACTCCCAATCGAGTGGTGTTCCACCAACGAGACCCCCAAAGGAACAAATATACAGGTCTTCAGGTCTCCCCATGGTGCCTCCACCACTGCCTCCCAAGCCTGCGGCCTCTCCATACGATTCGCGATCAGAACGTCCACGCCCTCCACCTGTACCAGGCAAGATCTCGGAAAGCGCACTACCATTGCCAGGCAAAGTACTCGACCAGCGTCCACTCACTCCTTCTGGAGAATTGGACGAGTTCACCTTCAAGCCCTCTGCCTATCTTGAAAACGGAGATCCGCTTCGTCCCGTCTTTCTGCCGTCTCAACTCCGCAACCAGTTTCTTTCCCTCGCATCATCCAACACTCGTCTCAACCTCGAAACATGCGGTATGCTTTGCGGAATATTAAAATCCAACGCCCTCTTCATCACGCGCTTAATAATCCCCGAACAAACAAGTACCAGCGACACGTGCGAGACTTTGAATGAAGAGGAACTCTTTGACTACTGCGATAAAGAAGAATTAATGGTCCTAGGTTGGATACACACACACCCAACCCAAACATGTTTCATGAGCAGTCGCGATTTACACACGCACGTCGGATACCAAGTCATGATGCCCGAAAGCATAGCCATTGTCTGCGCTCCCACTAAACAACCTAGGTTCGTTTTTCTCTTTCTTCCTCTTAGGTCCTTTCTTCCGTTCAATATGCTAATGAAAGAATAGCTGGGGCTGCTTCCGTCTCACTGACCCCCCAGGTAAACAAGCAATACTCAGTTGTACCCGCCCAGGCATCTTTCATCCTCACGACGTGGATAATATTTACACCGAAGCGCTTAAACCGGGGCATGTGGTGGAATTGATGGATGCGCCGTTGGAGTTGGTGGATATGAGGCCGAAGAAGAAGTTTTAAGAGGGTGTGGTGTGTGGAAGTGGGATTGAGAGGTGACCTTTTTTTCGCTTTTGTGATAGGAAAATGGATATATTGCATAGCGAGGGTTGCATACGATTGCAATGTTTGTAACAATGGGGAGATGGAGATAGAAGTGATATCTAGAGAAGCATGACCCTGATAATATATGAAAGACCTTCCCCTTAGTTACTTTTGCAAAACACTGATATACGTTGGTGATTTGTGTAGTATATATTTTTTTTCCAAAATGTACGTTTTTCTCTTCCTTCCCCCCCCCCTCCTCCCCGTACTTCTTCAAACAAATATTCGAAACACTTGTATCCTACATTTTCCCCAAACAAAAAAAAATTATACCTGACTTGCTTCTCCTAGGGATTACGTGACTTTATACCCAAATATCATCTCATCTTTCGTATCCTCACATGGAGCAGAAGGGGGGTTTGGATATAGATATAGGGTAAAGGAAACGAGTTCGTTACGTGGGTTTAATGGGTTTTGATGTAGCGGAGGGTGACAATATCCATGTCTATATTGATGGTGGATGATTTTAGTTTACAGTTTTGGTGAAAAAAGTAAGAGAAGCAATGAGTGTGTATGTGAGATAACAGCTTAGGTAGGTAAGAGCAGTATCTAGCTGTGATTGTTGAGTGTCACGGGTCTAAGAGGAGGAGGGGGGGGGATTTGCCGTCGTGATTCTCTTTCTTTTCCTTTCTGATGGTAAAGTAAGCATGGGTATTTGGCGCGATTTAGTCTTGCTTGAAAGATTGTGTGATGGGGAGATATAAATTGGATCGACAATGTTTTCTTTCTTGGCTGGTTTACATGGAACCAGTCCAATGCACACAGCTCGTATCTGAAACAAAGAAAAATAAACAACTCATGGAGGAAACAGTAGCAATGAGCAAGGGGGGGGGGGGTTGTTCCTCGCGAAAACTAGGACAAGGAAACTGGTAACCCTACCCCCCCTTGCATCATTTCGTGCCACTTACCTTTTTACCATCGCACCTCCCCCACAAGTTCATGTGGGAACAAAAACAGGTACCAGGCGCTCTCTTCACGACTCATACACCACACACACCCCCCACAACCCCCATCTTCCCTCGCTCTCGTATCATCGCTAAGAAAAAACCTTTCCCCCCAAAACACCTCACGATCGTCGACGTCATCACCTACAAACAAGAAGAATGTCACTCCCTTCACCAGCCACCCGCCAATAACAGGATACATGTATCTAAACTGCGCCCATCCCGGAATGGCGGATAAGTGCCGTATCCGTGTGTGTGTGTGTGTGTGTGCCGGTAACCGAAAAGAGCCTAAGATTGGATCTCACAAGTCCAAACATGGCCGCGAACCCGATAGATTTCGGGAGATCGACAGATACGTGCTATTAGGTACTTACTCTACATCAGCGATGGTTTCGTTTACGCCATGGGCTCTTGTATATGCTCAAGCAAGGCATGATATGTTTTTTTTAAAGTTGAAACAAAAGCAGGTTTTCGCGGCGTGGTGTTGGTTTTCGAGCTGATGTGCGGCGCTTGGAAAAAGGGATTTGCAGCGTTGGTGGGACTAGGGAGGTTTGGCTTGTTTAGTGTATTTTTTCCTTCTTTCATTTGCGTTCTTGATGCGGCTGGCGAACCATTTTTGGTTTTTTCTGGTTTTGAAGACCTTGCGCTACGGGTGTGGGGATCGAACTTATCCAGGTTTTTTCTCTCTCTTTGCTTTGCTTTCTTTTCTACTGGCCTTGTTTGTGCAGCAGTTTGGTGGTTCAGTTTCACCCTGGCGCTCTCGGCATGATCCGAGTGTATAAGGCCGAGGGGCATATGAAAATTAAGTGATGATCGGGATCGGAAGATAGCAATCTTGGTGGCCTTGGTAGTGTAGAAGGGTTGGATACAATTGGGTCGGGATGAGTATCCATTTAAGTGCGCTACTGCTGAGATCAGGCCATCGTGGTTGTCGTGGTTCAAACATTGGGTTGAATGGAAATGACCACCAAGAGCTCAAGACTTGTCAAGTGTTCTCCCGCAATCAAAAAAAGACGTTCAACAGGCTCGGTACTGAGTCGGCAGGACACAGCCTGAATGATGCGTACCGAGTTGCCCACCCTGTTGCCGTTCGTTAGTCGTGTGGCTTTGCTTTTCTTCTACGTTGCTCTTGGCTAGCGACGGAGCCTAAGGGACCCATTAACACGAGTTGGCGTTACATCGTAAATCCAAAAAAAAAAGAATCTGCCGCAACTGGGCTGAGAAAGTTCGAAAAGCCCAAGGCTAGGTGCCGCTGTCTGGCTTCCGCTCGGTAGTATTATTAACCTGCAAGTGGAGATTCCGAGTATCAATACGATATTCAGGCACGCGATTCGGTGATTGTGTGCACATGTGAGCGATGTGCTTGGACATGTGATGGCCTGACCAAGGGGTTTCCGAAAACAGCAAGGTAGGTGATGAAGTTTTTCTTGGTAGTATTTGGCGACATGGAAGGTGTACGTATGGGTATTCTGGGCGTGCTCATGCAAGAGCCAGTCGATAGGAGACTGGGATACACTGTGTAAGGTATTCCAATTTCTTGGTACCGAAGGGTGATGCGCAGCGGGGGAAGGGAGGGGAAGTTGTAATGCAACACTTTCCTGAGCAGTCTAGCCCCGTCTCCGACCAAACATGGCACTCGATGAGTTTGGTGTTTTTAGGAGCTGTGCCTCTTTCTGGTGTGATTGTAATTCAATGGTGTGTTGGATGTTCTTTCCACCGACCCACCGACGGATGATGGCCAGGTCCGTGCTTGGTAATGACGTCGTTCAGGAAATTGTTGATAGGGTAAAGCTCCACAGCGAATATGTACCCGCGTACCAATGACTTGTGCGCATGGCTACTAATGTAACACGTGCATTTGATACAGTAGACGTGAGCTAGGAACGGGTTTGAGAAGTGTTGCGCTACAGGGAACCAGGGCGGCGGGCGTCGCACGGAGACAACTCCAGAGTAGGCGCAAGGTCGACACCAGACACTTGACGTCAGTAGCCACGTATCTGAAAGCAAATGCACATTACTCGCGCAGTGATGTGTTTCCATATGTTTCGTGCACATCCCGAGACGTGGTGAAGAGCATGTTTGCCCAAGGCCGCGTCAACAAGTTTGCCTAGACCGCTGGCCAATGTGCCAATATGGATTTGTCAAGGTATGATGCTGAAAACAAGGTTTACACAGTAGACCTTTCCTCTTGGTCGGTATCGATGTAAAATACGTTTCTGTAACATGTTATACTTTACTTTGCTCTCCAATCCATATAGTAGACTTGTCATTGTAGATGACTGGGTCCCATTCAACACAGACGCATGAAGTCTGAATTAGCTTTCCGGTAGGGTTAAGAATAGTGTGGTGGGCGGAAGCAAGAACCTGGCCTTTCAAACTCCAAACTTGGCGAATGTGAACTATGCTGGGTGTGACGTCGTGCAGTGTATCAGATCCTGAGGCTGCGTGGCGCCCAGACCTTCACTCCTGCACCCAGTGAATGCCAATTGACGATCGCAATCGCACAAATTGATCGATGTCTCCCGTCTGAGCTAACAGTTTGGATAGAGGATGTCATTGGGCAAAGGGGATGTAATTGGGGACGCCAATGCTTGAAAGACGTGGAAAAAATGGTAGAAAAATGGACCAATAGTGATGAGCCGAGAGAACTATATTTGTAGAGTAAAAAGTGAAGGCAAGTGTTCGAGCACTATGCATCTTGTAAGAGACAAGGTTGTAATGGAATTTTTTTCTTCTCTTTTGCAGTTGACGGCTGAATCGCTGTTTTTATCACTCAAATCGAGCTGCGATTCAAATGAACATGAAGACTACGTACAACGCATCACGCTTCAGGCATGCCAACCGCGGTACACAATCTTAGTGCCGTACTTCTGACCTTTCTTGAGTACCATCATAGGCTTGTACTCGGGGACATTGATAGCGTTTACGTATCGGCTGGGCTCAACGCAGAAACCAGAACGGGCGCGGCGGGCGGGCAAATCACCAACTGCGGGCACGTCGATGTACTTTCCAGTGTAGAACTGGAATGCTGGCTCTGTCGAGTGAACTTCGAGATGGATTTTGCTCTCTGGGTGGTAGAAGGAGGCAAGCTTCTGCAGAGCTAACGAGCGCGTATCAATGGGCACACTGCTAGGGTCGGTGTTGACAACAAAGCAGTCGTCAATGTCGGGCTCCTTTTCGCCGAGAGTGAAGGTCTTTTGAGGGCTGACACCAGGGTACTCTTCGATAGGTCCTGTGGGTATGCCTCCATCATCAACGACTTGGTACTTGTTCGTGATGAGAGTGACTTCTGTGCCGGCAACAGAAGGGCCTTCTGTCAAGTTGAAGTAGCTGCAAACATTTTTTTTAGTATCATAACCTAGGTGCAGTACTTGGCGAGCACTTACCTGTGGTTGGTCATGTTGATAGCGGTTTCATCGACCTCATCACCGACGAGTTCAGCTTCATACTCGATATGCAAGACCTCCTGCTGGACACCGTCTACTTGCTCCTTTTCCTGGACGTACCACACGCTTACTTGCACAGTGCCAGGGTAGCCCTCCTCACCGTCTTTGCTTAAGTACTTGAACAGGGTAGCCTCTTTGCCATTGCGATCCACCGTGGTAGGGCCTTCAAACTCACGCTTTCCCCAGCCCATGTGGCCGCCGTGGAGGGAGTTGGGACCATCGTTGAGGGGGAGTTGGTACGATTTCCCATTTAGGTCATTGATCTTCGCCTTGGACACGCGGTTGGCGATGCGGCCAATCGTCTCGCCGAAAAAGGGGGCATTGTACTGTTTATAGAGCTCAGCCGAGGGAAAGCCCTGGACAATGTTTTTTCCATTGACATGGAACTTTTGGATGATGGCGCCCAGAGGCAAGAAAGTAAAGGCCTTTGAAGACATGGCGCAACAGGCAATCAGTGTGGCTGGGCTCTGTCGGGGCAAAGGGTAGGTAGTGACGGTGGCAGGGCAGCGGGTCGTCTAGGATTGCGTGGTTAGCTGCAGAATTGGAGTATGGTTGAAGGGCACCACGGTCCCAGTAAACTTTCTCTCTCCTATTGTTGCGACATCTGGTGTGGTGAGATGAGGGGTAAGGTGTCCAGGCGCGGGGCTGCTGCGGGACCACCGCCACCACCACTCACCTTAGCTGAGCGTCTGGGCGCGCGTATAACCTTAGGGTATCCTGGGGCGTGGGAGCAGGCGACCAGGCTGATTCAATAGCTTGATTGAACCGTGTGTTTGTGTATGTGTGTGTGTGTGTGTGTGTGTGTGTGTGTGTGTGTGTGATTGAGACAGAAAATGGGGCGCATTTGCGGACCGTAGTTGGATACATATGTGTTGATTTATTAGCCTAATGAGGATGTGGAGCAGCCGTTGACGTTCCTTTCTGCCGCTGGTTACCACGCGAAGCAAGGCTGAAATCTGCTGCTGTAGACCGTTTACATGATGTGCCGGGCAGAATGCAAGTAGTATAACGATCCGGACGATTTCTTCGCGTCAATGTCTGGACAGTGTCAGCGGATTATTAAGAAACGGGTACTAGATTCATATGTATGTATGTACATGCAGGTGCTCATCACTCTTTCCGCCACACATCATTAGTAATCGGCATTTCAAGCGCGCACACTCAAATTCCCAACATGCAACGTCATAATTGGAAAAAAGAACAAATAGCGAGTTTTAATATTTACAATATCATGTACAAGGTAAACCACAATATACTCGCAAAGGCGACCTTATTGCGCCCACTGTCAGGAACAGTTGCCAATCCGTGGAGGCATGCAGCTGTGTCCGGCACAGCGGTTCACGTCGTCGTGAAACAGGTGAGACTTTGACCGGAATGTAAATTGAAGGAGGAAGATATCCGGCAGATCATTATACGCCGACATATTGGACGCCGATTGCTATGACCGAACCCAAACGCCGTAAAGAAACAGGAGGTATCCCAGAACGCTTGAACGCTAAACAAGGAGATGGAACGAGGGCAGCGGAGTTGTGTCCGGACCAATGGCTATGCGCCAACGGGGTTCTGGATGAAGCTGCTGAAATCCAACTCATTGTGCGTATTCCAATCGGGCATCATTGGGTCGTTTGGGCTTATCGCAACACTCTCTACCATCATGTTTTGGTCGTAGGCGGGGAAGCTGTCGAATCCGTACATGGGCTTGAAGTCGACTGTGTCATCCATCATCATCGAGTCGTTCATCCAAGGTGCTCGTGACAGTGCAGAGGGGTCCATGACACCGCTGCCTAGGAACGGTGGTGAGGCCATTACCGGCTCTTGCTTGATTGGCGAAACTACCTGCGACTGTCGTGGGAACGGGCTGTTCATGGGTGGGGTTGGCGGTGCGTTATTGCGGGCAAAGGGGCTTTCGTACGCAAAGGACCTGGTTGTGGGTGTGCCATTGTATGAGGAATTGGACGAAGCATGGCCGTGGTCGGATTCTGAACTGACTGAAGTCCGTCTCTGTGTGTATGGGGCGCCTCCTTCGATTAGTCTTTGCTGCATGCGATTGCAGTCTTCCTCGAATCCTTCGTAGTGGGTGCTGCTTTCACTAGGGGCGTGTAGAAGATCCAGGCGTTCCAAAATGTCGTGGGTTAGGGGATGGCCACCTGCGGTTTCTTGCAGTGGTTGGCCTGGCCAGCTCTCGCCTCGCTGTAGGCGGCTGTAAAGTTCTCGTAGACCAGCGACTAGTTGGCCTTGTTGCTGCTCAAGCATCTCGACGTAACTGATCCAGTTAGCTTAGGTACTTAACCCAAGGATATTTAAAACCAGTAACGTACCCCTTGGGATATACTTTGTCCTGAGACTTCTTTCGCTCGCCAAAGACGCAGATTGCGTTGTCGGCTTTGCAGCGACTGCAAGGGCTCGCTCCATCGCACTAGTCCTGTTAGGTGGATGATTGCGACGCCTGTGTGAAGTTGAACATACCTTTGATTTTTTTAGACGGCAGCGGTCGCACGCCTTGCACACTCGCTTTCGGATGTTATCTTGGGCCTCCATTGAGTCTGATCTCTGAGGTGACATGTGGGTCAAAGCAGGTAGGGTTAAGGTGGTAGGGTGGTCTGCAGGTAGTGACCAAGACTTGAGTGTGGGTGTGGGTGTATGTATGTCTATGTCAGACAGTACAGTAGTTGGTTGGATGTTGGTGTACAGATTGGCAAAAAAAAAAGGTCGAGGTGGAAGTGGAAACCAAGGCCCTAAATAAGAGCAAAAGGGCAGTGTGGGTAGGAAAGCATTATATCTATTCACGTCAGAGGATAGTTGCGTTCAGGCGGACGTTCGGCGATAACCTTGTGGTGCAAAAACGCGGTAATGAAACTGTAATTATGAAATGGGCCGGCCATGGGCAGCTAGAGGACCCCTGTCTCTTTACACATCATCAATGGGCGCACGCACGTTGAGGCACATTAGTCGGTCGAGGAGCCAGGGTGCATGGCTGGGTGCAGGGCACCAAGCTGGCGAGGACTGGGCTTCGCTGGCCGGAGGAGTGACAAAGCGAAAGCGCGGAGTCGGCCAACGAGCGGACCGTGAGCGCACAGTAGCCTACGACGACTGCAATGGGAACGAGACAGCCCGCCCGCGTCGTTGCTCGTCCGCCAGGGAGAACAGGTGACGTTTTACTCGGCGAATACGCGGGCTTAACCAAACTCGACCTGCTCTCGAGATCGCAGCGCTCGGGTGCCGGCAACACGACTTCCACGACCAAAATCAGACGGACAAGAGCCGCCTGTGGCACCCCCCTCCCCGCAAACTGGCGATGCTGGCCAGGGATTGTGTGACACATGGGCGAGGTCATGATCAAGACTTGATGCTGCTTGCCTATGATGTGTCCGTCTGTGTGTGTGTGCGAGTGGGTGCGCCTGTCATCATCATGGCCGCATCGCTGATAACGTTTTTTTTTGTCTTGACGGGGGCCCCAACGTACCAAAGCTTCGGCCGAGCTAGAGAGGCAGGACTGCTTGACTGATTTGACAGCCAAATGATCAGCCTCTCTGGTGAAGGGAAGGCGTGCTCGCTCCCTCGGACGGTGGCACAATCCCGATTCCGTCTCTTGTGTCCGAGTCATCAAGGGGGGTGGAGGCGGACCAAGACTACATGTCCGTCTACTCTACCACACACACATACTAAGTAGACACATGTGAAGAAAAGACGCATACGCCTGGCCCGTCTGCGCATGCTCGAAAACCTACATAGTTGGATACTTACGTATGGACATACGCTACATAGCTAGCACCGCCAGCCAGCCAGAGGGTCGAGGGCGCTGCGATGTGACCGATGGCTTCAAACCGCCCATTGCTGGCTGCTAATGTAAGCGCAGCCACAATCAGCGACCTGCATTGTCGCGACACATGCTGACACCCGCCTCTGTCTCTTTTGGCTGTCCTCTAGCCACAACTGTCTCGTCCGACTGGACCTGCTCTCATTTGCCAGTTCTTGTATTCTATCACATACATACGCGTCGCAACCACCCAGCCCCGCGCCTCGTCCAATGTTTCATTAGTCGTACGTACTTACTTAGCTGTAGTATAGTATCATGTCCTCAGAAAATGCCTCAGCCACAGACCCCCTCTGTCCACGTACACCTCCCACTAGCCACATCCAGGCGTCCAGGTCCTAATCATGTTTACTGGCCCGTCTGTACACTTACATACGTATATTCCCATACGCGCTATTCTTGTTGGCCAGTCAGCCAAGTTCCCACGCTGCTCAGGGAGATTGGCAGGTTGGCGACACACGCCAGGCGTCGTCAGGCAGCGTGGCTGAGAACATGATTTTGGGGTGAGGCAAGATTTGACGGGCCCTATACGACGGCTATACGATGCGCCCCCTGTCTCAATACACCACTTACCCGTCCATGCCAAAACGTCGTGAACACCACCCGTTGGGCTAGATAGTCCGCCTTCCTCTCCTCCTTCTCCTCCTTCTGCTTCTGCTTCTGTTCTTTGTTTCAAACAAGCTTAGTGTGAGCGCATACAAAAACAATGTCAGCCATCCACCTACGCCCAGGGCCACCTTTGTGCATGTGCATCATGCCACTCACACGCATACATACTCACACTCAGCATCTGCATAATCATAATCATAAGCATCACCACTACCACTACCACTACCATCATATCATCATCGCCCTCTAACTCCATCTACTTACTCGCTCCCTCGTCATGTTCCAGGTCGCAGCCGCTGCACCGCCTGCTGACATGCAACTAAACGCCAGTGCACGCCGACCAAGATTGCCAGGGCTTGTCTCCATTCCCGCCCTGGCATTCGGCCACTTGTCTCGTAAGTACATGGTCCTGCTCGGCTCACAGACCGACGAATGCGGGGGTTGTTAGCAGCGATCCTGTCAGACCCATCCCCCGTCCGTGTGCAATATGCTTTTTCATCGCAAGGGTCCTGGGATGCAGATTGATATCAAAAAAAAATACAGTACAGCCCGTCCTGATGCACAGTCGCCGACATCATCTCAACTCACCTTTGGAGACAGTAAGCGGCGATTGAATGCATGCTTCTCGACAGGTTGTTGCTGGTACCTCGACAAGATGACCAGCCAATCTACGCTCACTGCCTGTCACTGCAAACTTGAATAATGCCTTTTCCAACCGCCTGCTATGTCATTGTCCAAGGATTGCGTGGTTGCCATGCTCCAATGTGCGACGTTTTGCTGGCAATCACCCCACGGTCTCCCTTGTTACATTGGACAAGGGACGGACGGTCTTCGTCCCTCCTCCGATTCATACCCCAAAATCCCCCCTGGCGCCATGGCGTACATACTGCTTCGAGACCTGCCGTACTAGCCATGTGCGCAAAAGCCTTGGTTCCTCTGGTCCAAGACTTTGGTCAGTCTTGTGCCCCCCCTCTGATTGCCTCAGCAAGACTCTCCGCACGCAGTCTCAAGATCGACACCCGCTCTCGCTTACTACGGCCTAACCTTGCGGCTTTACTCAGCCCGGTCGCAACAGGGGTACCAAGCAGATCCTCTCATTAGGTGCCTATAGTCACTTATTACCAAGCCCTCTCCAACGGCCTTACTCATCCTGTGCACTTTGCACTGGTCCCGCCCTATATGATTACCTAGCAAACTTCGAGCTAAAGTCTAGCCAAGCTCCTTCGTCCATGGATACTATCAGCCTGCATATTAGAGATGCATGTTTAACTTTCTCTTTTCTGCCTGCAGTCAGGCTGTTTTGGGGGCTTGGGTTGGGTCCGGCATGGTTTTGAGCAATTCGTGGGCCTATTCTTCCAGGTCATATAGTAAGCCACAAGCCACCTGGAACAGCCCTAGTAAGGCGGCACACTGAGGCGCGTACGGGCCTATCGAGCTCGACGACAAGCAGAAACGGGCAACCAGCCGATTCAAGTAAATACAATACATGTAGTACATACGGCAATCGCCGAGCCATCTGCACAGGGCTCAAGGCTTGGCTCCAAGGCAATCTCTCCTTCTCTTGGTTCCAGGGTCAGATCGTTACCTGTGTAGTAGCACTACAACAACCTATTGCTATTGTCGCCCTGTGCCAGCAGCCTTAGGCTCTGCCTCACAATGTACGACCCGCCAAATATGGGAGAACCTGGGCAATAGCTAGAGATGTTTGAGCTTGTCTATTTGCTCAGGGCTAGTAATGTGCGACAGGCTACACACTCAACCGTTGCCGTCTCTCCAGGCAACGAACGCCCACGGCCCGGTCCTCTTGATATTCTAAGCCCCAAGGCTACGTGTAGGAGCATAGCACCATGGAAGAAGTCCGTCGATGCCAAGTCTTGTCATCCTAGGTCCAAGTTGCACTTTTCGCTGCGGACAACATTTGGCGGCATTTGCACTCTCTTGTGTTGCTCGGCACCGGACACTCAGCCTTCCGGCCAAGAACTCATCGCTCAATTGGCCCATCCACTAAAGCATGTACCTACTTTCGAACGCAGACTGATTCAGCCTTGGCTTTCTCATACTGAGTCGAGGCCTAGACTCTCTGGTCCGTTTCCATCACCATGGATTCCTTGGCTGCCACCTGTGCACATACCTTATGGGAGACGTATAGACACGAAATGATGTCAACCAGACCAAGTATTCGCACACAGTACATAATGGAGCTGGCTAGCTCGAGGCTGTTTGGTCTTCCTGGTCTCGGGAGATTGAAACCTTGCGTATTCTTAACACCCATGTCATGAGACCACACAAACCTTCGCAAGCAACCTGCATTCAATTGAGGCGTGGACGGGAACTGCAATGAGTCAAGCCCATGGAGTAGTTTCCACAGGGACCCACCCCAATTTGTAAGGCTGAAAAAGCTTCGACAGCTAGTTATGCATTGTGCCCGCACCCACCCACGTCAGACCGCGTCTTAGTGCACAGTGGCCACACTATCTATCCTCAGCGTCTAATCAAAATCCTTAGCAGAAGATCAGTAACGGATCATGATTTCAAGGTGGAGCCATCATGAGTCTGACACATCAGTCGAGTGCGAAAAACAACTCTTTCTTCAACTGCCGACGACAAAGCTCAAGCACCACGACGAAGGATCCGTTGGCTCGGATGCTGCTTGCTCAGTAAGTAAACTTCGGATAGTGATCAAGGCACCCGTAAAAACTACCTTTCAACCCGGTCCATCTGCTTCTATCGACACGCAGTACTTGCAACATGCGTTGCTCTCGTACACTACTAAACGCATACTTTAGGTCATGGCCATGGTAGTAGTGTATCCGTGACTCGACTGTGAAGGACTTGATGCTGATCATGATCCTCCCGTGTTGCAGCACATCCACTTGCGGATGGCGAACCCCAGCTCCGAACGCCAGCATACCGGTTCCATTGCGGATACACGAACAGGACCCCTGCGTGCTGTTGAAGAGATGGTCTAGACTTCTAGAATGCGCCTCTTCATCATGATCCGCTTTGATAATCGTGCAACATGGGCCACGACATTGCAGTGTGTTGGGTTAACTACGTAGCACACCGCCGCTCGTACCTGTCATCACGTGCCATCCATCGCAGCACCGCTCGTAATACTCAAACAAACAACTCAATACCAAACGTGCCTTGTTTCCAACCCTCCTTGCAACCACCAACCAGGGGCCACGAATAATCAGAAATCCACTCACCAACGCAAACTGGATCTATCGCCGAGGTCGCCTTGCAGGTAAGTACGGTGTTTTCGGGTTTCCGTGCGACACAATAGTCCGGCCTCCTCTTTACTCGGGGTCCGATACTTGGACACTCGTCCGAGATGGATGCGGGCACGGACCAAATCTCCTCACTGGTACGTATCCCGCTTTTCCATGTACGCTCTGATGCCCATTTTTTTTCCTTCGCTCGTAAGTAAGCACAACGATCGCTTTTTTTCTGCCTAATTTCAAAGACTGCCTCGGTACTAAGTCTAGTCAAAACGTAGTTTTCATATTGGGTTTGTCCAAAGCATTGCATGTTATTATTTCTACCCACGCATGATTGACCGACGCTCTGTTCAGCGCTCTTACTACTAGTAGTTCCCACACATGGCCTTTGGCCTCCCAGGGAAGGTTGCCCGACTCTGGCAGACAATACACGATCGCATCGACCGCCAATACGCATGCCTGAGATTCCACCCGACGGCTTGATAGTAACAATCCTAAGCCCAAAACGCTGCGCAGCCTGACCGGCTTGACTGTGCGCTAGGCAGTACTTGATGTTTCTTGTAAACCCTGCGAAAGCTGCAATAAGCTTTGGCATGCCTCGAGTTGCTTCCCTAAATGTACCCTGGCAGCAATCGCAGATCCGCAACCCAACACAGCAAGTCGATATCACGGACACGATCTCTTAACACATGGTCCCCATGCCGCGATGCTTGTACTGCCTGGAACACTGGTTGAGAAGATGCGACGTGCCTCCGGTTTAGTGGGAGGAAGAGGTCTCTGAAGCGGGTAGTGCGATGCAAAATGTAGCCCTAGTGTACGTAGGACCCGAGGCCGGCCAGACTGACGATTATATTGAAATAGTCACAATACGAAAAGTATAAGGTCGCGTTGCTCGCTCCAATCCAGTGGTACAGGCTCGGAGTTAAGCTGACTGCAGAATAGACAGCGCGCACGCTCCGTCACGACTTTACGCCGCAAATACGCGCTAGGCAGTTTTGAACCTGCAGCACTGCCTCAACACGGCAACCCAAGTCGCAAACCCAGTTGCTCCTAACACATCCTTTTCCAGTGATGCGTTGACACAAGGCGCAAGGCGAAGATTTGCACGCGATGCCTTCTGCTCACACCCCACCCTCCGCGGCCCTAGTACAGTCAGCAACGTCAGCGTGCGCTCAATACCGGTCCAAAATGGCCTCGATCGCGAAGCCTGTTTTGTAACTTTGGGGCACCATTGCAAGGCTGTACATACTCTATCGGGTTGGACCCATGTTCATCGTCCTTCAAACACCCAGCGGCGATCATCAACCTCGCAGCTCACACCGGATGACTTAGCCGCGGCAAATCACAAGTCCCCGGGACCTTTGAAACAAACGCCCGTGGCAACGACACTGGTCTGACAATGCAACGACGTTGCGTATCATGAACCTCGCTCAGATGCAGGTCAATCATATCGGCTGCATTGCACCACCGCCAGGAAATTAACACACTGGCAGTTACTCAACTGCCGCGCTGCTGAATTTGAGACTCACTGACGTTTCTAGTGTGCTCTAGATGCACGTACTCGGACCCGATAATCGGCCCGTCAACGTATTTACAGTAATGGCAAAATAGTATTACGTCGGATGTGGACCTTTTGTGATGAGCTACTTTCACCATAGTTGGCATCACAAGTCGTCTTTCTTACACTCACGTGCGTTGTGTGTGCAGCACAGCGCTTTTGCATTTTGCGGGAATAATCTGGCTTACTAAGGTGTATTTCGGTAAACTCTTCTCTCTTATTGCCGAAATTCGGGCCCGATTGCAACCCTCGGCTGTACGACCACTATGCCAAACCCTTTTTTTTTCTTCTTCTCTTGAGTCAAGCCTCGCATGCACCACTCAAACTCTTTCTGCCGCATTCATGCGAGGCGGAGTTATCCGAATCACCCCATACCACTACCCATCTGCTGACACGTTATCTACGACCTCGGGCTTTCTTTCGCGCTTCTACTTTTATAATAATGCCAAAGTTCTGACTGTATCGCGTTCCCGAATGCCATACATTCGGGTAGAATTGCGCCGAATCACGCCTTCTCAAATGAAGTGAATAGTAAACAAAAGACCAAAAAGTAGTTACTGATCAACATACATGCGTACTTTGTGTGTATTTTGCCTCGGACAGAGGCATGTCATGTGACTTGTGTGAGCGTATCTGTATAGTGTATACAGCTTGGCAACCCCTAACGTACGGTGCATGTCGGAGAGACGCGTAACGTACTCGACTTGGCTCGTAGAATATCAGGCGTATTTCGAACTTGGGAAATCATAGAATGCAAGGAAAAGGGGAGAGGCCCGAAAAGATGATGTCGTGGACACGCTCGAGGCGTTGGGCAGTCTTTGGCATACGCAGTAGGATCGTCGATACAAGGTCAAATTTGAAGCGTCACAGCTAGACTAGACAACACAGACATGATCATCACTTTACAATCTACATGGATCGAAATCGGTTAATCGGAGGTAAATTAGCCTTATTTCGCGTCTAGCACAATGTCCATGACCTTGATTTGCATAGTCGGGAAAGTGAAGCCGGATAAGCAGCACAGAGATCGAATCTGCAAGAAAGCTCCATGTACAATACGTAGTGCGGGACGATTTGACCCATCAGCAATACAGACAATCATGTCTATCTAAATCAAAAAGGAAATGAACAAGTACACTTGTGAGCATCCCCAACACCCAAACTTACCAAACCATCAGTAACCCCCCCTTCTCCTCCAAACTCTCAATCAACCCAACTCTCTTCTTTCCCCAAAAATAACGCAACAAAACGTCCTTGTCAGCCCTGCAACGCACGAACATAACACCATGATGACCAAGACCGAAAATAATCTATTCCCGAATTGCCCAAACCCCCATGAAAGAGGATAATCCAATATGTACGCATGTGTAAGCTTACATTACCTTTTCCACGCCTCATCTCCCCCCGCCTCTTCCCCCCGGCACACTCTACGTCTTCTTCCCCAGACCCCAGTCTCGGATCGCAACCCACGCACGAGCACTCAGGGTGAGCTAAGAAAGAAGGCCCTGACCGCACCTCTTCGTCCCCCGGTTTAGCGATAAGCGAGGAGGGGGGGGGGTGCGAGAAAGGGCTGACTGGGAAGTGATGAAATGGTCAGTTGATGAATCACTGTATGATGAATGTTTTGAAATTGTGTTTGAAGAAAAGAAGAGAGTGAGAAGAGGGTGACCACTGTATACTTGTGGGAGGAAGGCGTTTTACACGCTCGTACGAAACGAATCCAGCATCTCGATTTCCAACCTACGAAATCGCGCTACTAAGGAGCTTGGAGTAAAAGTACGCACGAAAGAAGGGGCGATTGTGGAGAAAGGACCACAAGGCTGAACTCCCGTCATCCCGCTACTCCCCCAAACCCTCTTCACCTCGTCAATTACCATTCACAATTTTGCGGGAGAGAGAAAAAATTATGAGAAAAGTAAGCAATACGTAGTAGAAAATCTCGGACGAACATTACCCAACCACCCTTCTGCAACCAAGACACACGTCCACCACCAACTGCTTGATCACCCGAATCTTACGGAACTTGCCTTTGCAGTTAGTACACTACACTAACTAACTAACTAACTAAACTAGAAGCATCTCTCTCCACATAGCTCCTACACATGATCTCGCAGCCTCCCACCGCTCCTTTAACCCCCTCCTCCGGATGCCATGACATCGCAAGACCGCAACCCCATTACCCTTGACCCCCTCGGCGCCTTACACAACCTCGTAGTCAGCACATTCGTAAAACACACGTTTACTACTATTGCGTTATGTACCACATCACACCACATTACACGCGCAACTGCAGCGCATACTTTTTTTTTCTCCACATATGTTGCGCGTCAACTGCGTAAATGCAAAACACACCGTTTCGCCGCCCCCCTCGTTATGCTACCACTTTTTCTTTACACAGGCTTTTTCTTCACACATATGAGATGTTTTTCCTTAAACTTGAGTTCGGGGGGAAGGGGCGAAGGGAAGGGGGAGAAGGGAGGAGCCTTGTACATATCTCCTCATCGTCAACAACCTACAGCCACCCACCTCCTTTTTTTCTTCTCTCTCTCTCTCTCCTTCGAGAAAGTGGAAAAGATACCGATAACTCCCCCCCCCCGGTTCAGTTCGCCGTATATCGTATACTGTATAACAAACTGTGCAGTGTATGCACATACCACATCTACACGCCCCAAATCTCACACGTAGTATGGAAAATAAAAATAAAATACGCACATACACTACCATCACCATCCCTTCCTTTTCCCTCCTTAACTCAACTCCCCCCCCCCTCCTCCACCTCCACCTCCGCCCTCCCACTTCCACTTCCCCTTCCCCCCCTCCCCACTTCCTCAAAACGGCCCTGCACCCATGTCCAACGCCCCATCCCCCCTCCCCATCTTTGTCAGCAAAATTCCCAATCGCCCTTTTTTTTCCCCCTAGTCTGAGAGAGAAAGAGAGAGAGAAAGGGCAAGTGCGCTAGGGCGTTCTCTCGCGCTAGAAGTAACGCACAAACCTTTTCTTTTCTTTTCTGGTTTTGTTAAGTACCGGACTAATTGCGGTCTAACGCCGGGGTCATTTACTTTGCGTCTCCCCCCCCAAACTCCCCTCGCTAACCCGGCTGTAATACACCGTTTAGTTTTATAAGTCATGGGGAAAGGACGAGGCGGAGGGGGCGTAAAAGTGTGTGTGTGTGTGTGTGGGGG